GGGCGGGCCGCGGGCGAGGGGCGGGGGCGCCGGGCCCCCCCCGAGGGGAGCCCCGGGACCCCACGGCCCCCTCACCCCCACGGCCCCGGGACGGGCCGCTGCCCCCGGCCTCGCCTCGAGGAGGAGATGTTCCTGTTCCCAGGACCCGGTCCGGGGCCGTCGGTGGCTGCAGGGGAGAGATAGGCCCTGAGGGAGGCGAGGCCGGCCCGGCCCAGCCCCGGGTACAGCAGGCGCCATGAAGGGCCGAGGGCCCCCTCGGTGAAACACGACTCTCCCAAGACGCCAGGGTTACGTCCACCTCTAATGAGGGGAGGATTCTCAAGCTGGACGCGAGCGGCCCGGCGTGTCATGAATAAATCTGTTCCATTGCTCCAGGCTGAGCATTTCTCTCGCAGGCCACCCCCTGAGCCAGGTCCCCGGGACAGTCCCGCAGAGCCCAAGCCAGCCTGATAAAGCCACCAGGCTCTGCCCAGCGGCTCTGATTGATTTTGCCACCAGCAGGACTCCTCTCAGTGCTACCAATGCATAAGCGAGGCCTCTGTCCAGCTGAAGCGTTCCCCCTGCTACCAAAGCAGGGGTGTCCAGCCTCAAACCACCAGCCTCTTTGCAAACGAGCCTTTCTTCTGCCCACCGGATGCCTCGCCGTGCCCTCCCCTTCTCAGTGCTTATTTCTTTCTTTGTGTCATCCTCCAGGGCTGGATTTACAAGGAGGACAACGTGATGAGAGATCTCAAAAACAGCTTGCAGAAGCTGGCCAAAAGACTTAAAAGACCTGAATCCCACAGACCAAGCGGGGAGTGATCAAACAGCAGAAACAGGGGCCGCGGGCTTCCCCAAACGAGCGTGCCCAGCTACAGCAGGACACTCGGCACCTAAGGACACAGCTCAATACACCTGTACTGCAGCGCTGAGAACCAGCGCCGGCTCTCAGAAAGGTACAGCAGGAGGAGATTAAACCCGTGGTCGTGCCGGCAGGTCAGGCTGCTGCCTGCTTCGGGTAATTACCTGGCTCCTGGCAGGACACACATGCTGTTTCTCAGAGCATACCCGCTCCATCACAATGCTCCGCTGATTTCAGCGGAAAGCAGCCCTGTAGCAACGCAATCACAACCACCAAGCAAGCAGCTTACTCGCAGGACCGCTTTTTTCTCCCCATCCACTGACTCAGCTCTGAAACCACCTCCGCAGAGCGCTGCGTCACTGCGCAGAGGCTGCACGCTGGCCAGAACACAGAGCAGCGAGGCTACCGCAGATCGGGCGAGGCGCGTGCTGAAAAACAAGGGAGCTGGTATGGGCTAAGCAAAGCAAACGTAATACTGCCCACACATAAAACCATCGTTTATAGTTGTTTGTAGCACCTAGGGCTGGGCACAGCTAAATTTGGCAGCTAAGCAGTTCCCAGATTGGCTGGTACTTTGCTGAGACACAAGAAGAGGAGTCAGGGTTGAGTCAAAGGTAGAAAAAGTGTGATTTATCGCAGTGCTGAGCAGATAGAAAAATGAGAAATCAGAGCAGCAGCAGGCAGGAGCCCCAGCTGGGATTCAGGCCTCCGTATCACCAACTCTCGCCTGAGCTGAGCATCAGTGACACTGGACAGGGTGCATCTGGGACCGGGAAACAACTGAACATTTCCCCCATCTCATTTTATTCGGACTTGGTGTTTGCCCCGCACAAGCGCTGGCCTCCTACAGGCAGGGCAGCCCACAATGTTTTGCTCTCGCGCTGGACTGCACAGCTCTGGTAGAACAAGAGGACAGGGCAGCAGTAAAGCATCAAATACGACTGAGAACCGCAGTACGAAATCCAAGCAACCCATTTATGTTTTAACCAACGTTGTCCTCATGGTGTCAATGGCGAGGAAGTGCCAGTTCTGACCTCCTGACGGCCTGGAAGCCCTCGGTGACAACCTGGGCCAGCGTGGGCCAGGAAAGCCTGTGGCTGATGCGATGGGCTCTAGTTTCCCCCGTTGATTCCTTGGAGCCTGAACACAGCAGTGGGGATGAACTGGCCACATAAGCCACTGTCAACTTGTTTTTCAGACAAAATCTCTCTTCATCTTAAGAGGCTTCATCTTTCAAGTACTCCAGCACTCCAGTACTGCACTTTGTGTCCTGCTTTCGGGTTCAGCAGTTCTCTGCTGCTTCGATTTTGGGGCAGTTACCCCAGTTTGCTGCTGACTCGCCTCACTGGATCTGACTCATCCACCTGCTGCTAGGGAACAGGGCGCTCGCTTTCGTTAATCCTTAACCCTCTTGTCTCCATCTAGTGTCCAAATCATACTTCGGTTTCTCTCCCAGCCCACTTGAGAGACCTGCAGGCTTAACAGCTTGCCTGTCACCGTGCCGACATCCAAATTAAGCTGCACAGGCTCGGATTCACGTCAGCACCCCCAACGCCTCCTCTGAGAAGGCCCCGATTGCTTTCGTGCCCCTACAGTTTTTACCTAGGTGGAGAAAAGCCGCTGGCTTGCCGCAATGAAAAGTGTAGGAAGGGGCCTGAACACTTGATGCTAATCATAAGGATCCTCGCCTTCTCGGGTTTTTAATAACGTCAGGTTATTCTTGCTTTCCATCTGCCAGGGCGTCTGGAGCACCGAGCCCCAGCACTGCTGGCTCCTCTAACCCTCCTCCTCTGTGTGGCTCACTAGCCCATTGGGCAAGGAATAAACTCCTGCCAAGTGCCACCAAAATGACCCGTCCCTGGCCTTCCGCAGGCGGACGCGGCCTGGCTCTCCCCACGCGTGAGCTGGGTTACAGCACCACTGACACAACCTGCTTCGCAGCAAAGCTCTCGGCTCAGGCTCAGCCGCGCGCAGACCACAGAGATGTGGCCTTTTCTTCAGCGTGGTGGCAAAGCAGGCTCTGACCCGCGCTCGGTCAGAGTCCCCAGCAGAGGATGGAGGCTGCCTGCAGTGTAGGGAGGCTGGGGGGGAGGCTCAAAGGAGCACGAAGGTATTTGGACCTGGCACCTCTTGAAAAGTCCCATTCAGGCACATTTCCTTTTTTTGGTCCCTTTGGGAAGGCTCCGTTCAGCAGCCAGGCACAATTCTACCCGGATTTGGGAGGTAAAAGGATCCCTCCGCAGGGATGTGCGGGGAGAACCTGCTGAAGGCCCTCGAGCCTGCAGTAACTGGCGTCTGCTGTCTTGCCAGGCTGAGCGAGAGGCACTTCGTGCTGTCTGCACCAAGGCCTGGCCCAAAGGAGAAACACGCTGTGCCTACCCACTGTTCCTGGGCTGAGAAGGAGCGCTGAACGCGGCAGGAGAATGAGCGGGATGTGAGGGCGATGGCCATGACCTGTGCTGCCACCCGCATCCAGAAAAGCTGCTTGTTACAGCGACTCCTCACGTCGAAGAGGAAGAAAAAAAGGAGAGGCCAAGAGAGCCAAGAAATAAGCACAAAATCCATCCTCTGTCCTCCATGCTTTCCTCCCAGCATGGCTGCCTGCTCCCCTGGGGCTCAGCTCTCCCAGATCACAAGCAATAGCTGAGACAGCGCTTGCACTAAGGCCTGAGCCCGCCAGGGCTGGCTGTCACAGACAGCAGATGCCAGAGCAGTGGCATGATGACGTCTCACCATTTTAGGTTGAGCTCTGTTGCCTTTCAAAAGCAAGAATAACATTTCTTGCCAACGGGACCGGACCAGGAGCGTCCCTCCTGGCTGGCCTGCCTAGCTTCAGTGCCCTTCATCTGCTGCAGTGGGTCAAGGCCCAAATCCTGCTGCTGCTCGAGGTGGCAATAAAATAATTTCTAGGGGCAGAATAACGCCTTAACGTGGCTTGGTTTGTCCTCGGGTGAATTTGAGAGAATGTTTCCCTTTGCGTGGGAGGGAGTTACCAGACTCCCAGCGACTCCCCGGTGTTCCCTGAGCTCAGCAGCTCGTCACTGCAGCCTCCCTTCCCTGCACACCCCGAGTCACCCAGCGCGTGTCCCTTATCTGCCTCCCTACTCGTCTTCCTAAAGACCGACGTGCTCTTTCCCACCTCGGGAATGGAAATCAAGGAGGAGCTGCTTTGCTCAGTCTTTGGAGACGCTTGCTGCGCCCAGATTGCCCAGCAGCATCCCGTGGATCAAACACAAGGCCCCAGCAGATTTGCCTTCGATCATTTATTTGGTGACACGAGCATGGCGTTGCCGTGAGAGCACCTCACAACCCTCACTACAACCACAGGATTATGCGTCTGCTCAGCGCGTCCTCATCGCCAGAAGCTGCCGATATCTCTGCGGCAGAGCCTTCTCTGTTACAAAACCCCATGCAGCTTGGGGGCATCCCACCGCCACCGGGACGCAGCGCGATGCCATTCCTCACCTCTCTGCTCGTCCTCCCTTCTCCTTCCTTGCCAAAGGAGACCATTAAAGAGTTGATGAAACGGAGCAAGGCCAGCAGAGAGCCGCCAAGATGGTCAGGGCTGGAGCACACGTCCCATGTGCGGAGGCTCAGGCAGCCTGGAGCAGGGGAGGTTTCGGGGGGGGCTCAGAGCAGCCTCCCAGTACCTATGAAAAGGAGGCGACCATGAGGTTTGAGCCAAGCTTTGCGCTCAGGTGCGCAGCAGAATGAAAGAACAGACACGAACAGAAACAAGAAAGGCTCCGACTGGATATAAAAAGTGAAACTTTTCAGCCCAAGGACAGTCGAGCAGTGGGGGGGGTACCAGAGAGGTGGTGCAGCCTCTGTCCTTCAGGATTTCCACCACCTGACAGGATAAAGCCCTGAGCAGCCCTGCCTGAGGCCACGGCTCACCCGCCTCGAGCAGGAGGTTGGGCTAGCAACCTCCCGCAGTCCCGTCGAGCCCGAGCGATCGTACACCACAGGGAGGATGAAGCAGGGCTCCTCTCTCTCCAAAACTGGTCAGCAGAGGTCCCCGTCAGGGCCCTTGGACTTCAGCTGCCCTGGCCAGCCTGGCCTGGGACCTCCACCCTGGTGGCACCTTCTGCTCTGGGAGCTCCACCTGAGCTCGGGCCCTGCCCGTCCCCGCCGAGCTACGCTGCAGGGGTACCTGTGCCTGGGCCTTCTCCCGGACGCCCCTGCGCCCACGCTGCAGGCAGTCCCGTCTCCTGCTGTTCCGACTTCCCGGCTGGACATCCTGGAGAGAAGGAACCTGACTCGTTACCGTTCCTCATCTAACGACCACCGGACAGTCAAGGGACGCTGCTGTCACCACCAACGCTGTCCCGCTCCGGTGCTGCGGTCGCCCTCGGTTCCCAGCTCATCCTCCCATGCGGAGCAGAGCCCCGTCCTTCGCTCGCAGCCACGGGAGGCCCCGGCGTCCTCGCTCACCAGGTCAGGCTCACCAGGTCAGGCCCCACCTCGGGTAGGTTAAGGTGGTCTTTACGTCCAGAGGGACATTTGGCTTCACTTCCAGGGAGGCCTGGGTTTGCAACCACCCACCGCCTTGGAGCTGATGGCCACAGAAGGTCCAGACACGCTTTTTGATTGACCCCTCAGCAGAGACCCTCGGCGGGTCGCAGGGGCTGTCAGAGGGCTCTGGTTTTTACGCCTGTCTGTCTTGGCGCTGTCTGAAGCCAGGCGCTGCCCGTCCGAGGAGGCGTTCAGCCGGCTGAGAGACTGGGAACGTCCTCTGCCGGGAGCACCCTGGCTTTCGGAGCTCAAGGGACGCTTCCAGACGCAGGACTCGCCCTCGCCGCCCACCGCAGAGCCTGGTGCTGAAGGAGACGCAGGGGCTGGCGGGTGGACGGCTCTCAGGGGCGCTTGCCTGGCGCGGGGGGAGAGGCCGGGCGGGCTTCGGGGAGCAGGCGGGGGGCTCCAGAGCAGCGGATGGAGCTTGGCCACCTCTTCGTTCCTCATCCGTGGAGCTGCCCAGGCCGGACCCTCGGGCTTGGAGCCGAAGAGGGACTCGTCGCAGAAGGAGGGAGCGCGATTCCTCAACCTTGGCGGGGCGGCAAGGAGGGAAAACCCCGTGTTTATATCACCCGGCCACGACAGCGCAGAGACCCGGCCCCGGGGGGGGGGACGAACCCCGCTGGGTCCCTGAGCATCGCCCCGGAGCCCCCGAGGGCCGGCCCCCCGGGGAGCC